CGAAGCTCGGGTAAAAAGAGACGTAGCTAGCCACCCCACACTACAAAACCAATCAAACTGCTGCAGAAACTTCAACACACAAAAAGTATATTACAAAGACAAAAAATTTAAAATCAAACTTATTCTTCGCTGAAATCGGAAAGGGGAAATGACACAGTGAGCTGTTGAAAGCCTTCGGGAAGCCAGTCAGCCAGCCGATGTGCCTTCTTTCGATGGAAGCAAGAATAAGAATGGAGACTTGGAATGTACGAGGCTGGAAAGGCTGTTCAGGTAGCAAAATAAATGCAAAGATACGGTATAGAAGTGCTGGGAATCTGCGAGAGAAGATGGAGTGGATGCGGATTGTCAAACTTGTCAACTGGAGAGTCAGTAATCTACTCCAGTCACCCAGACGACAACCACGAGAACACTGAGGCAGTGAGTGGCCATAATGATGTCGCCAGCGGCAGCCAAAGACGTAATGAAGTGGGAACCAATTTCATCCTGCATGATGATGACAGCAAGATTCAACTCAAAAGCAAGGAAGGTCACAATTATCCAATGCTACGCACAGTACTACAAACAACGCGGAACAAGAGAAGAAGAAAGATTTTTATAGACAATTACAAACAGTAATGGACAACACTCCGAATGACAACATCAAAATCATTATGAGCGATATGAATGCCAGCCGAACATGGAGCAGATAATACAAGAAGAAAATTTATCATGAATCGAGAGGCTCTCATTTGGCGAAATGAATGAGAACGGAGAATTATTCGCAGACTTCTGCGCTTTCAATGATTTGGTAATCGGAGGCAGCATGCACAATCACAAGGATATACACAAAGCAACATGGGTTTCGCCTGACGGACACACCATGAACCAGATAGATTTCATCTCAATCTTAAGGAAGTGCAGACTCAGCCAGTCTGTTGCACACAAAGTCGGGAGAGGAGCAGATGTGGGCTCAGACCATCATCTAGTTCAAGGAACCTTCAAGGTGAAGCTGAAATCCATGAAAACAAATGAAGACAGACCACAATTCAAGTTCAACATTCAGAAAGTGAAGGACAAAACTACAAGGGATGCCTTCGCTACAGATATCAGAGCAAAGTAGGATACACTTAGTGGCATCACTGAGGAAACCTGTGTGGAAGAACATTGGAAATCTCTGAAAGCGCTATTTAAGGAAACGTGCACAACTGTTCTAGGAAGAAGGAAGGGACAAGACAAGGAATGACTCTCGAAGGACACCTACCTGGTAGCTAATCGAGGAGAGGAGGATGGTGAAAGAGAAGATGACTCAATGCAAAGATGAGCAAGAGAGGGAAGGGGAAGCTGAGTTCAATGTACACTGCACTGAATAAAGAAGTGAAGTGTACTAGGAACGACAGAAGACAACTACACGAAACACTGACCGGCAACTGAAGCAGAACAGGCACGTCACAGGTAAAAGAGGCCCCAGAATATTATATTAGATAACCAGGCTGCTCGTTATCCGGGAAGAGATCAACCCAGATGATGAGACCGATAAAATATATTCAAGGGGACTTGATTACCAAGGAGGAGAAACAAATAAAACAATTGGCTGACCACTTTAGAGGACTCTTGAATCGCCCACCACCAGCAATCGTCCAGAAACACCATCACGATCAGCTCTAATAGAACTGCCAGCGGATGCCGATCCTTCAAAGATAGCAAGAATCGTGAATGTGACTAAGCTACTAAATAGCGACAGAGAAGCCAGCCGCGCCAGATAGAATTCCTCCACACCGAATCACTGGAGACGGACCCAGAGACTGCGGCAGATGTCCTCATGCCATTATTGCGAAAGGTTTGGAAGGAAATGAATGTGCCTACTGATTGGACGAAAGACTGACTACCTTGTCAGGCCAACAAAGAAGGGCGACCTAGTCAGATCTCTGAAAGAACTGGCGTGGAATAATACACTTGCCAACGACAAGGAAAATACTTTATCGTGTCAACCTGGAGAGAATAAAAGATATATTGAATGCAAATCCACCCCACACACCACACACAAACACAGAACAAGCTGGAGTCAGGAAAGGAAAATCACGTGCTGATCAAATTACAACTCTACCCATCATCGTCGAACAAAGCACAGAATGTCAGTCAAACTCTACCTTAACTTCGTCGACTTTGAAAAGGCTTTCGACAAACAGTGTTGACAGAGAAGTAATTTCGAAACTGCTTCAACACTACAACATGCAGTCCCCAAATCTGTATCAACCCAATTCAATAGCTGGCTATATGACAATGCCACGTGTCAACTGATCAGCAACGGAAAACTCAGCGAGGCGTTCGAAGTGAATACAGAAGTAAGACAAGCTGGCTGCCTATTATCACCAACGATGCTATTCTAAATTGTGGTCGACTGGATTGTGCGTCAGACTGTACGTTGGGAGTGAGAAGACAGGAATACACTGGACCACCGATAAGAAGACTGACTCTAGAAGATCTGGATTTGGCGTCTGGATGATTTATGTCTAATGTCACATAAACTCGAAGACTTGCAGGAGAAAACTGACAAATCGGCTGAAGAGACTGGCAGCGAAGACAGGACTCCAGGTGGACATAGAGGAGACAGAGGTGATGACGATAACCAACCAACATTAACAACAACAACAACAACCAGCACCAACTACCATCATCAACGGGACAGATTTGAAAGAGGTCACTTCCTCCACTTACCCAGCTAGGAAGCACCGTTTCAACCACAGGTGGAAGAACGGATGAAGATGTCAAAGCAGGCCAGAGTCCGAAAGGCAAGATGCGCCTTCATCAACCTGAAACCAGTTTGGAAATCTTATGCACTCTACTCGTCTCAGAATAAGGAATAGGATTCGAATTCTCAACACAAATGTCAAGTCGGTCACTTCTTCTATGTGGGTAAGAAGAAATTTGCACTGCGTGTCACGAAAAGGATTTCCAACAAGTTACAGACTTTCATCAACAGCTGTCCGCTTCGCTGGCTCCATACTGAAAGTCAAATGACCAGCCGGCCAGAAAGAATTACCAACAATAAACTCTGGCTGGGAACAAGCCAACCAAGAGCGGATCACTCAACAAATAAGTAGGAGAAGATGGAGAAGAAACATGCATACGTTGAGGAGACCGTCAAATGACATCGCGCGCCAGTCCATCGCTCGAATGAAATCCAAACGGTAAGCGACGATTGGGTCGTCCTAGGGTGACATGGAGGAGACTGTGAGAACAGGAGATGAGAGATTACGGGCAAACGTGGGCCCAGCTGGAGAGGACAGTGCCAAATAGGAGAAAGGGGAGATGTGTTCTTGATGCCCTATGTTCCACTCGGAACCCAAGGGAATAATAATAATAAATGCCATGTTTTAATTCTTACTTCTGTAATGAGGTTAGATGCAATACTGCACTACATGCTGAAAATTTTAAATTTACCAAAAGTACTGTTTGGAATAGAACTATTATTAGTATTGCTCACAGTCGACAACTAACTTAGTCCTATTTGATTAATAGTAATATGATACCAAAAGACGTTTGTCTTCGAAATACTCACCCTGCGCTCGGTTATATCGTACACTCTATGTGATCTTGTGCATATGCGATACTTCTGTTTGCTGGTTTGGCCCTTAGGATTACAGCATAAGGCATAACCACAATTCCCGTATGCATTTCGTTCGACAGCAATATCGTCATATTGCTCACGCTCCAACCACGGTAACTAAAGTTGATTCGAAACAAAACACCAATAAAAAGATCGGATAAATTCTTAACCTAATTGCAATCAGATAATAATAACCGTTTAAACTACAATATTAAAATTCGTTACACTTCTACTAGCTGACTGACTGGTGTTCAATATAGAACTTAACACAAAAGTGTGGCAGCTCAAGTTACCACACTCCATCCAACACACAAACGGTAGACAAAACGCAGTAAATAAAGAGGTTCAAGAAACTATAATAAGCTGAAAATATTGGGAGAGAAAGACTAGTAACACGGAAAAACTGACGACTTAGTGGATATGGAACATCAGAAAGAGTGAATACATATAATCTATTGAGAACGACTAAGGGCCATATCACCAATTGTCTCCAGCCATTGGTTCTTAGAATCTAGAGGACCTCAACCAAGAAGTTTAAGCCTTGCTATGTGATTCATACTAATTGTCAAAGATTTCATGGACTGATCCCAAATCTCGGTTTGACCTGCACTAGTTCTTTCCTAGCCTACGTCACCGAACATTGCGCGTTGAGGTAGGCGGTAGCTCAGTATATGCAACACATTTTTTAGCCACTTCAGTCAATTCACCTTCACAATTTCATCGATTATTGTGAACAAGGTAAGGACAACAAATTGAGCGAAATAAAATGATCCCATAGAATTCGTCACATTTTTCTTTTTACACACCCTGGTCGCCGACCTCACTGCTAAGAACAACATTCAATATCGCGTGTTTTCGATAATCACATTTTTTATTTAGACTCTCGAGTTCCAAACGAAAGGAATAGGTGTATGCTAAACCATTTACTGAAAATCGTCACAAATACTATATGGTATTTTATACGTCTTTGACGAAAGTGCCACTAAATTCCAGCTTTCCTGATAAACGCAAGTGTGGATAAGTTAGACAGAAGAAGATAAAATTCATGAGAATCGAGAAGTAAAACTGTTTAACTTACGGCACATGCTAACATAGTGACACTAACAGGATTGCGTGCAAATCTTTCAACTATGAGCAAAGCTTGACGAAGAAATAACGCTTGCCTTTTTCTTGTTTCAATCCAATCTTTCTCCAAGCCTTTAAAAGGTGCAGGGACAGAAGGAACCTCAAAACCATCATCAACGTCTGAAGACATTAATGTCAACAAACTGCAAATTAAAAAGGTACAATGACTGTAGACACTGTAACAAAACAAGAAAGACACGATAAAGAAGTAGTATATTCTACAAAACATTACAAGATAATAGAAAAAAGATGATAGAAATCATAAAGTAATCAGTATTAAAAAAATACTTTAGTGTTGCGATTCTCGATATAAAACACGCACCAGTAAAGAACAGTCAGTACACTCAGCATACGGAGCTCGACACAACACAGCAACTTCTTCTAAGATATAATTTCCACCACAACGACAAGGGAACCAATATATACTACACTTCTGATCATTAGATTCAAAATTTATATCAGTGTCATGTATGGGTTCAGAGTGAAATTCATCAAATGGTATATCATTTTGTACAGGTAACCCAGCAGACATTGACATTAGCTTATTTTGTCTCAATAAAGCATCATAAGTTTTACGTTTTTCGGGGCAGCGTAGAACACTCCATGCCTTTTCTATAAGCATAAATTCTTTTTCTAAAATACCTGCATTTTTATCAGGATGAAATCTAAGTCGAGCCCGATTAACAAGTTGTTTAATTTCATTATCGGTGGCTTCCATTGTACAGTCTAAGATTTTATAAAAATCCTCCATCCATTCTACAAAAAGACAATCAATTGTAGATGAATTAATCGCACACAATAAAAATAAAAAGAAGGAATTGATTTCAATAATTTATTGTTGATATATATATATATATATATATATATATATATATATATATATATATATATATATAAAGTGTATACATATGTACAGCTGTATTACAGTAAATCTCAATCACTCTCTTCATCAGAATCACAATACTCTGGAGCTTCGGGTTTTGCCCAATTCGGTTCAGCTGATTGTGGAAGTTTTACTTTGCCAGTAAGATCACACTCTATTTCAGTAGTCTTGTTGAGCTGATCAGTACCATTACTTATTTCTTCTGTACACACTGATGAAGAATGACAACACGACTGGTTGTGACTTTTTTCGTCTTTTTCTTCTTCTTGATCACTTTCACTGAAATCTGAGTGCTTTTTCTTCTTCTTCTCCTTCATTGCAGCAATACGTGATAATAAATTCTTAGCAAATTTGAAAAATCCTTTAGTATCTGTAGTGCATGCATAACATCGTGCAGTTTTCTTATATCGTTTCAGAGCACAATCACTACAAAAATAATGTTTACAACTGAGAGAAATTCGACAGTAGAATTGTAACTTACATAGTTACAACCGGATCTTTATAATCTTTGCGGCATATCATACAAATTAAAGGAATGTCTTCTACTACTTCTTCGTCAGAAGAATTATGAACAATTTCATAACGATTATCTTCACCATCAATTCCATAGACTCCTTCAGCTAACTCCTGTTCTATTTGCCAACCATGCTTATAATCTGATCTATCGTGAAGAAATTTGCAGCTGTCACCAAAACTACAAAATCCTGTTTCTTTATAATCCTAAAATAAAATAAGCATCTTTAAAGGCCTAAAGAACACAGTGTACAAACTTTACAAACATCCGGTTGATAATCCCATCTAACAGTAGCTCTTAAATTTGCTGGAGCTCGCATAGGACCTTTACGATTAAAACCACTTGATGCATTCCCCATAACAGTATCTTTCTTTTCAATGTACTGAGCGTAGTTATTCATCCCCTTGTATGAATTACGATCTTGAGAATCCTACAAAACATATATTATATAAGATAATGAAATAAAGCAAAAAAAAACATGCCTTATTTAATTTCTGAGAACGCTCAAATATAGACTGGGCATCACACTTGATGTCTGTATCAATCTCCAAGGTGGCGGCTGCTATTTGATCTTTTGTAACCCTTGATTCCTGGAAGGTGTTAGAAATAAAAAAAGATTTACCTTGGAATGTGAAGCTTTATATGTGACTGTTTCAAGAGCACTTTTTCTACCAGCATTATCGTTGTCATCATCATCATCCGATGAACATTTCTTATTATTGCCAAATTTTGAAGTCTGAAAGTGGTGTAAATAATTGTTTTCAAATAATAACGAACCTGTTGATATAACATATTATTGATATGACTTCTTTTCTTAGTCTTAATAACTGCTTCATCTTCACTGGATGAACCTTTTGAAAATGTTGAAATGTTTTTATTTGTTTTAAATTCATACTTTCTTTTTGTCGCACATTTTTGCGACTACGTTTTTTAAAGAAGATACAACTCTCGCTTGAGTTTTCGGTCATAGTTTAATTTCTGGAAAAAAAAGAGAAATTCAAAGAAAAGGTTTTACTAAAAACCAACTATTATTTACTGGCACAGTAACAAAACTGGTTTGCTTGATTTTAATATGAAATCCCAATAGATGAAACCACAGTTTACATTATAGTTTAGGCCGATTAATGATAGTAACGTTTGCATATGGTATAACCTGATTGTCGAAATCACAGTCTTAGTGTACAATTTCCTTTCCTGAAACTAACAAATTGAACACAATGCATGCATAAAAGCGACCCCCTCTCATATCAACCAATGACTATTGCCGAATTAGTTTTACAACAACACATTTTAAGACTGCTTTTCTGAAATAGAAATTACGACATCCACGATCTATAGTATGCTGTTTGATTAGCTGATAGTGTCTTTCCAATTTCAACTAAATGGATGCTAAACTGTTTGACATCTAAATTTCACAGTTAAAACGATTTCTAGCTGCACTA